GAGTATAGGTGGATTTTGGTAGGGCTTATATTTTCAAATTAAGACCCCAAATTTCACGATGATCTGATTTCACGACAATTAATAACCTGTATATAAATTGGCGGAAAATTCATTTCCGCGGATCGGGATTTTAATATTACAAAATTGACGTAATTTAGAAATTTTAAATTCAGATGTATCACCTTTGTTTAGAAACTATAAATTTTCAAATTTGCTTTATTATAATCAATCGAAACTAGTTTCGCCCTAACATTTTTTTATTTTGAAAAAAAAAATGTTTCATGATTATTTATCTGTGTTTGTGAAAGCTTAATTGATCATCGATTATCTTATGTATGTCAATTCTTGTGAATGAATGTCTATAACAAGCTGTAAAATTTAATTTTATATCAGTTTCAGTATAGTTTAGTTATAAAGAAAATTGACGTAATTCAGAAGAAAATTTGAACCCGAATTAGAATGGACTAGAAGATGCGGTGTGCATTTTTCGCGTATCATATGTGCACATATATTCCACAGTATACAAATGCTCAAAATGTCGAATGTCGAAAATTGATTTAAAAAAAAATTGAAGCCTCGAACTAGAGAATGAAATAAAAGAGCAGCATAATAGTAAAGGCTCATAAACTTAAATTTTACCTTATAATCCACGTTAAGCCCTTTCATTCATTGAATTTAATCGGTGAATACTAACATATTCGGATATTCAATTCGGTAAGCGAATGTGTATTCGGATGTTCTTTACTGAATATCTGGATATATTGTCGGATCAATTCTATTTCGAACTAGCCGAATGTTTAGTAATTTGAGCGGAGTAAAATTGCAAATCGGTTAACCGATCTGGATTCGTCCAATTGGGTTAATCGGGATTATTTCGGTTAGACCGGTTGAACCGAGTTAACTGAATTAATCGTCTTAATTGTTTGGAGTTCTTAGATAGGTCGTTAAAGCCATTAGGTACATTAAAGAATCACGCACGCTCTAATCTTTTAACCAATAATCAGATCATAGTCAACATTAGAGATCAGATGGCTAACGTATCCGTTGCAATCCTCGATCTCATCTACTAAGTGATGTGAAAGAGTTATCTTCCTCAATATTTTATGACGTTCAATAACCTGCCAAGTGAGAAATTCCACTTAGTTTTGTTCATAAGATTATCCTTTCTTGAGTTGATTCCCGCCGGAATGGCGGACTTTCTTTTCAATAATTTTACGTACTATTTAACTCTTTTTCAAATACTTTCTCACATACTTTCTTTAACTTATCTTTAGCATTAAATGAACTTTACTACCCATTATTCCCAAACAACTTGATTTTATTAATAACATCATAGCAATTATCAAAAAAGTTAGTCCAACCCGGACTATCAAAATTATTTCTTCAAACTACAACTCGGCCTATCTGAACTAGGTATATTTAAATTGTGCTTTTCTATTCATTCGCCATTACTAAGAGAACTTTTGTTAGTTCTTTTTCCCAACTTATTGATAGGCTTAAGTTCAGCAGATACTGTTACATAACTTGAGGTTAGTGATGAAGCTTTAACAAATTATTTGTGCTTCATCAATGAAGTGCGCGTGCAATCCATAACATATAAGATATCATAAACCTATTATTGCTTCAGCTAATTATCAATAATTCCTCCGAGTCATTGAACATTCAAAGAATAGCCTGATTATTTATCTATTAGAATTACCGTAAACTGCAAAATTCAAACCTATATTAGACTACCATTAGAAAGGAAAATTTTAAAAAAGCATGCATATTTTTCTTTTATAAATTTAAAAAAAAACTACATTTGACTATTGTAAATTTTGAGATTCACACTCGGGTCTAGTATATCAGTCTGTTGACTAAAAACGGCCTTCTACCGCTACTATCTATTAATGTTTTATATAGGCGCTGTCACGGGCAGAGCTGTTGCTTATTCTACGGAAACTAAAATCGCTAATTCATGACAAATTATACTTTAAGCCTCTCGCCAGAGACGTGACTATGGTGACTTTTACCTTTAAGTGTCGAACTTAAGTTACATTTTTCAAATACCTTTAACAAACTATTAGGGTGGCTAATTATCCGTGATTATAATAAGACTCTCATGCACTGTGACTCACCTTTGTTCTTTCAACTAACTCATTTTCCTTCCTCATATGTCACGCAAGCCTTTCTGAGGTACTATTCGATGTAGTTTCAGAAATACAGTATTGCTTTTAACTCGTGATAGCGCCAAAATTTTAATTTTAATTTATTTAACTTATTCAAAACATCTATTTCATCAAAGTAGAATTACCTTTGCAGGAAAATTTTATTTAAAAATAAAGCTATTCTAGCTGAAGATTTTCATTATATTGTTTTATATGTAAATTCTTTATATTTATTTCCTTTGCAACAGACTTTCCTGTGTCCTGGATTTTATTGATTTTAGAAATAAAGATTATCAGGAGAGGTCGATTGATGCGGAAAATTATCTATCTGCTATGTCATAGCATTATGTATTATGGAATGAATAAGGCAATAAAAATTCGGATTCTTTTCTAATTATAAAACTTATTTTTTGTATAATTATAGTATTAAATTTACGAACATGATTTAAAAAAAATTTTTGATCTAAAAAAGTATTTTGATTATTCTATTAAATATTAGATTCTAACAGAAGAAACGATTCTAGGTTTAAATATTTTCGATTTGTACAGTTTCTTGCGTCTTTACAGGCGCACTTTGTTCTTGACTCGTAAGGTAGTCATCTTTTTCTATACTGATATTAGAATCGTTTGTTTCCGAAACATCTATAGATACTAATTGAGTGTCTAATATATTTTGTGGTTGACTTTGTAGTTGTGTTTGCGATGATTTTAGCGATGATTCTGCATTAGTTGGGACTTCTGGAAAAAGCTCATCTTTAAGCTTAGGCAAAAATTTATCTATTTTAGTCCATGTTATATCCCATAGTTCAACTGGTGCTTTACCACCGACGTTTTTAGTTTCAACTTTAGTTGTTCCTGGTGGATTAAAAACGCCAGATGTTGACATTACCAGTAACATATTTTTAAGTGATTCGGGAACCGCTTCACGCTATGAAATGTTAAAAACATGATCAATATGAATTCTATAAAATCTAATTATAGACAGACCTCCCTAAGTGCACGTTCTATAAATGCATAAATGTACGCTTGCATTTCAGTCTAGCCACTAAAGACTCTACAGTAAATTCACTCGCTCTTAAATAGTCCTGTAGAGGTACACTTGGGGAGGTTTGACTGTATAATAAAGTAATGAAGATAACTTTCATACCAGCGATTCATTATTCCCAGTAGCCATATAACGTTCCATTACATCTAAAATCTGCGACCATAATGAGGTCAGTCCACCCCATTCAGATAGCCTACTTAAATAATGCAAAAATATTTTACATATTAATGCAGAAGCACGTATTCTAGTTTCCTCCATATTAGAAGGATCAGCTTGAAAAATTTCAGGTTTTAGCAATTGGTCAAGTAGAGGGAACAATACTACATCAAAGATTACAATCCATTCCGTAACACCATGTGATACAAGCTCTGGATCAAGCAATGATCGTTGAAGGAATGAAATAGCACATTGCCTAACTTCACGGCATGGATTATAACACTGTTGACTAAGGCCAGTAAGAATCGGGAGCCAATAAGTTGACCAAGCTATAAAGTAGAATGGTTAGCGATCAATATTCAAGGTAAAGCATTTAAGGCTGTAAAATATATATACCTTCTCGCGGGGGTGTTTCTGACTCTACCAGTAATTTCGGTATCTGATTGTATAAAATATATAATAATTCAACAGCTTTTCGAGCTCTATCTATTATGGCCGATTGGCTTAGTGAATAAATTTAAGGTTAATATTTTAAACATTGTGGATATTTTATTTAGGGACATTATTCAGCTCGGTCCAGTTTGTATGGAATAAATCGATTTAGAATCAATCTGATTGGGTGTCAGTGTTAGAAATAAATGCGGTGAAATAACTGTCGGTGAAAACTGGGTAAATCTAAGATTATAAACTATAGAGATCAGACTGAAGCAAGACTAAAATGGACCGGACCGGACTGTTAACATCCCTAGATTATTCAAAAATTTATAAGGTAATTTTGCATACGTTTTAGATATACGAGTTCTTGGTGTTCGCATATGAGATTCATGAGGCAAATCTTGTTCCAATGCAGAGGATGCAGCAGAAGCAAACTCGGCCAACAGTTCGACACATTCATTAAAATTATCACTATTAATATTTTTATTTTCTCGAACTAATGAAGAAATTGCGTCAAAAGAATATTTAGATGCTTGTGGATGTGTTGAAGTTGCGTGAAGAAGTGTAAAAACGGTCTTCCAAGGTCGTTTTCCTCTGAAATATTAATATTCAGTATCAATGAGCGTGATTAGTAAGATTATAAAAAAGGTATAAAAGTCTTACCTGATGTAGGCGGCGTCAGATTTTATAAGATTTAAAATACCAGCCATCATTTGTTCACCCACAGAGTTGACTACATCAAGTGGTAAAGCCCCCAAAAGTTCTAAAGTTTGAAGTATATCAGAAACCATTTCATCCTAATGATATATACGTATTAATATTTTTTTCAATAAATAACTAGATAACACAAAATATTAAATTTTTAGATAACCTTATGCGTTAACCGAATACACAATCTCAATAATGCGACTACTGTTCGTTCTACTAGTAAAATACTGTTATTCTGAGATTCTTTAAGAATATCAGTTATATGTTCAAAAAGGATGGGCCTGATGACCACGAACAATGTAATAATATTAGAAATAAATCATGATATTTAAGATAACATTAAAATAGGAAAAAGTACCATAAATGTTGAATCCGATCTCGATTTTGCAAAGTGACGTTAATCATTAGTTCTAGGAAAAACACTGCAGCCGGATCATATGAACTACCACGCAAGGGAGCTTGTGATGCAGTTGGGCTAGGAGCTGGAGATGAGGAAGGATATCCAGATTTCGCATCAGTAGCAGTATTACCATCCGCAATAAATTTGAGAGCCCTCATGAGGTATTCAAGTGAGGGTTGCTCCAATAACCTTCAAATATCAAAATAAAGGTCGTAAGTTAAAAGTAATCATAATTTTCTTATATAATAATCAATACCTTATATCGGCGAAAAGTTCTTCTAAACGGCATACGGAAACGCAGTCTACTGTGCACATACTGCACTCTATTTCTTCATCCGTAGGGTCACTACGTGAAGACTCATAATTCCCTGAGTAGGGTGATAACAGATAAGATGATAGAGCAGATAAGAGTGAATTGTCGCGAGATCTTTCTTGTTTGGATTGAGGTGCAGTTTTTGGTTTTAATGGAATAGTAGTAGTTCCAGCCAGAAAGTCTTCCACTTGTGACATGGAAGCGGGTAACAGGGAATTGACAAAAAGGTTCTTAATAATTTCCAAGATCTGTAAATTGTGAGATAACCGTTAGGAATGGATATTTGTTGGTTAGCTCTGTATAATGAAAAAAACTTACGTATTTCCAACCTTCTCTGAGTATGTTACCATGTTCATTAGCAACTGCGAATAAAACTACAGCAGCCAATTGCCCTTTGTAATTTCTTCCAAATTGTATTGAAAGATCACTAACTGTAATTTCCGCATTTCCGGCTTTAACTAATGGATTGTTAGCTGTCTCATTAGAATAATGAGCACCTAATAATCCAGTCATCTTAGATAGAGACATGATTATATAATCGAAAACGTCATATAGCTTATATTGTGCGGATAATAATGCACACTGGTGAAATCCAGTGATGGCTTTTTGCAGAATAGTATCATTTGGTGCAGTACTAAATGCTGAAAAAATTGATATTATAGATGATTTCAATCACAATTTAATTTATATTATTTATATGCATATATCACGCACCATATGAAATTGCTGCGACTGTAGGCTTCCATGCTGCTGTGAACATGTCCTTGTCATATAAGGGAACATCACATATGATCAATGGTCCTAATGTAGTAGAATAAGTGAATAAATTATTGGACAATTTGGGTTATATTATTTACATTTAATTGATAATTGTGACTATACCAGCATTTTCTGCTCTGCGTAAAAGTTCTTTCCACGCGTAGTTAAACCCAAGTTGTCCTTCATGTTCTTCAGGCATGATTATTTCTCTTTTTCGGATGGCATCATAAATAGCATTCTAGTATATAAACAATATATATGTATTAGCATAAAAAACATTTGCAAAAGAATTCCGAAATCAGTAAAGCCTACTAAATATTCGGGCGAGAAGTTTTGCCCATTATTAACGTTTCGGAGATTTTTCATATAATCTTCAATTGACATACGCCGCTGTTTCAAAGTAATAAATCATAAAATTTTAGTAAAATAAGTACGTTTATTTATTCAAAGTAATCTAGTGATACATACTCTAACTTGAGGATTATGTAAGTCTGTGTTTAACATTATAACAGAATAAGATAAAACAAATGTGGCGTCTTGTGTCGCAATTTCCTCTAAATTTATGGAAAATAATAGTCAAATATGAATATTTTTAGAAACCTAGACTTTATACATGAATTCATAGAAAGCATAGTTTGAATAATAAGAAAAAAAAATCTTACGTGGCCCAGATGCAAAATATGTTTCGGCGAATGTCTCCATTATTCGTTCAATCTGTTGCGCTTCACCAGGTAATCGGAAAGTTTCTAACATTTCTCTCATAGCTTCATCTATTCGTTTCTAAAAAATTCCATGGGCAACATATAAGCTTCCTCTGTTAATTCAAATACATTTAAATTATAGATTTAACACATACACCTTCAAAATCAAAAAGTTTTACGAATGCTTTAAGTATATCAATCTTTGACGGCTTCGACAAAAAATCACCCAAAAGTTTTTTATTTAAACGAGGAGTTGATTTTAAAAAAAATGCAAGACTAGTGTTTTTATCAACAGTAGGATCATTGTATATTATCCCGTTTGCTAATCAAAATAATAATAATCAAATTAATGATAGAATCACAACAGTAGATGAATTCATTCGTTTCTAAAGTAATCACCTTCAAGAAACTCAATCCCAGTTTTTGGATTTTCATTAAATCTTGCTGCGCCTTCTCTTAATATTTGTTTTTGTTGTTTCAGTTGCAAAAGGCCTGATGCAGAGGGATACGTCTTAGTCAGACAATTTCAATACAATAGGCAATTTAGTATTAAAACGACTACGAAAATAGTATGAAGCATTTTTTTTTTTTCTTCTTACATTTGGCCTTAACCCAGAATTATATTCAGTTGCTGACATTTTATCCCAAGCCAATCCAGAATTTGAATTGCGATTTCCGCTTTTCTATTTTCAAAATTTATATCATAATAAGTGATTTTATTCAGCCTCGAATGTTTATATACGGGAAACAATTCAGTATATACCTCTGTTTGTAATCTATCTACCATAAAGTTTACGTACATCAACAGAGCATCCAAACAAACAACGTGTGAATTACTAACAGAATATCCTGTGGGTTCCGGAAATGAGTTCTATGAATATTAAAGACAATTAGTTCATTTTCTAAAACGTTTTGTAAATTATACGGATGACGAATGAAAAAGACCTTGCTCAAAAATTTAACAACTTCCTCAAATAAATCTCCGCAATCTATATTACAATCATAGTTAACCCATAGATCTACCATAAATGAAGCTTCCCGGGCAAATTGTCCGAGTGATTCTAGCAAAAGTTCGCGCACTTCGCCTATCGCAATTGATGTTTCACCACTGGCACGTAAATTACGTTCCCGATTAGTACTAGGTGTCGAAGTTCCAGATTGCAGTGGAGAATCATTTGCACTTATGTTTGAGAACTCGGCATCGAATGCGAGAGTTCTCATACTACTAGTGGGTGGAGTAAGGCGCTCAATGAGAAATGATAAATAAAGTTCTTGTTGTAATTTAAGATATGGACGAAGCGTCCCAAAAACAGTCGATATCACACGTAAAGTGAGTGACAAAAGTAACATATTATCCGTTCGTGCGAGCTAAAAATTGCATTTATTGTATCAATTGGGTAAATAATCATTTATATTAAAAAAAAAAATTGAAAAACAAAAAAAAATCCAAAAAATTACTTGAAATAGATGCTTGCACAACTCATCAACCGCAAGAGCGCGCAAAGGTTCGAAACGTCCTATCGTGCGGCCGCCGACTTCAAATGCAACGTTCAAAATGCTGAGAGCCATTAACCGCATAGTATCGGTATGCTGATGGTCATGAGGATTCAATAGGGATATAAGAACACGAAGTAACTCCCGTATTGAAGGCAGTCCAGAAGGCTTTGGTTCTTTAATATTATGTCTTGTAAGAATTGACTCAATAATTTAATATGATAAACATCAGTATATTTGATGTACCTAAATCCTTTTCATCGTCATTTTGAGCTTCATCATTCAGTTCAGTGGCTTCTTTTTTGAATTTGATAGTTGTAGTAAATTAGAGGATGCCTAAAATGGCCAAACCCCATGATTAACAATCTTTGTCAAAAAGAATATAATTGCAATACCAGTGTCTTGTCCCTGATCTGGATTAACCTCATTACGAACTTCTTCCCAATTTTCATCCGGTTTGGTTAAGTCATCATTTGCATCAATCAAAGATAATTCTTTTACGATTTCATTTTTTGAAGAAACCGTAGTTGCATTAGTATTATTCTGCGATAAATTAACGTATTCTGATGAAAGAGGTAGGCGTGGTAATTTTGGATCAGGCGGTGCCATTCGCACTTGAGATTCTTGAAAAGACCCATTATCGCCTTCTCCTTCATCCTGAGGCAGCCATGTTGCTGGCTCTTCTTCCAAAGATTTAAGCCTGTTCAAGAAAGGAATATCAAAGAATTACTTTATACGTTATTGTCATCAATTGACGTTGAAATAATTAATCTGATACCTTTCAAACATAGTTTGCACCATTACTATCATTGTGTGTTCTGCAGACCGACGTAACATCTCTGAAATGGAGATTACCAGGAAAGCATAGTAAATTCCTCTACTAGTTAAGTGCATTATTCATTAGTTACAACTTTAGCCTACCACTAAGCCGCATTTGACAACACATGCTCAATCCTGTCTCCATCATTTCACAAAGTGCCTCATCGCTAAGAACGCGTCCCACTTCGCATGTCAAAGCTAACCGTAAAACTTGCAAGATTTTTAAAAGCACAAATTCGTCAGAAACAGAATCACTAGCTTCAAATTTACAATGTGTAGCTGCTGACGAAAGCATTGACATTGCGATTGGCAAATTTGGAGAATTAATATTAAGTATCCCGTACGTCAAAAATTTTTCCACACTGCCAAGAGCAGATGCTGTTATTGGACCATTCGTATCTCCTGATCGAATAACTTCCAAAAATGGTTCTAGTAATACCGAGGCATCGATTCCAGTCTCCTCTGATTAAAAATCAAAAATAAAAAAAGGTAGAGTCAATATTGCAATATAAATCAATATACCTTACAAAATGTACATACTCGAAATATCTGATAGCTGCGATTTTAGAGTTGCGAAACCGGACATCAACGGACTTTCCTATCATGTTTGTAAATCAATCATTATGAATCATACAATTAATTATTATTAGCAAAACTAACTCATTAAGAATATTAACATACCTGGTTTCGATAACCAATTTCAGTCACAGAGCTTCTACCCCTCAAGCCCATACTCATGCCTAAACCACCCATGTTCAAACCACTAACACTCATACCAGACCATCGAGAATTTTTCCTCATAGCACTTGTAACAGAAATTATTTCTGCGTGTATCAGCTGAGACCATCCTAATTCGCACGTTGCCTGTGACATCGCCGTACTGTCTCTCAGTGTTGCTGACTGGAAGTTGGAACCCCATTGGGCTTCCATATTGTTTAAATATTCTAGTGGTTCTAACGAAAAGCTCAAAAAATTAAATGTTGCCCAATAAAAATGCACATAGTAAGTAATGATAACCAATCAAATAGAAGAAGATCATGTGAATATACTTTTTTGGAAGATAAAATTATTATGTACGATCTAAATTATCATTTGACAACGAATTTACATAATCGATAATCGAGGAAGATAATATCACTTCGCCCGTCTGAAGCTAATTATAGAACTCTATATCGGATCATGTGACTTACGAGGTATCTGATTAGAACCCTACTTCGTACAAAATTTTGCAAGGAGTCTTTTTAATTAGGACGCAGGAAGCGATATATTTTTGAGTTTTCATGTTACACCAGATCTTGAATTTTGATTGGCAGCATTGATTCGGAGCGTTTGAACCAACACTTCGTTTTCGCAAAAGTCCCAGCGTTACCACAGGACCCCGGATAATACAAACTGAGGTGGGAGTTGAGTTAATAGTAGATTTTTAGCCATTTTGCCGCTTTAAGGCTCCAAATTTTGTCCATTTTAAGCCTTTTACCTTCAAATTTCTGATTTATAAGCTCCATTTTATTATATATTTTTCGGATCATTTCGGAATTTTCGCAAGAAATTTTGCCCAACCTTGCTCGCATTTTACGTTCATTCATTTTCTGCTTCGTAACTTTGTAAAATCATGATCTATATATTCTTTAATAATATTAGATATTTATTTCAAAAAATTCTTGTCCATTTTTAGCACATCCCTTCTTTTAACTAATGCCGGTGTTACATTAAAAATTGTGGTTCTCATAGTTACCCAAATACCGCAGTTAGGTATTCAGAAATTAACCATAGCTGCCGCAACAAATTTGGACCGGCAGATCCTCGATTTTGATTGGCTAAGAGCGACGATAAAAAG